AAAGAAAGAAAGAAAGAAAGAAAGAAAGAAAGAAAGAAAGAAAGAAAGAAAGAAAGAAAGAAAGAAAGAAAGAGAAATCAGCAAGACACATTTGTGTCCTTGCAAGGAACAAATGGGGGAAATCCTTTAGATAGAATGAGAATGAACCTTAAAACCAATCAATCAGAATAAAACTGGAAGGGACCTTGGAGGTCTTCTAGTCCAACCCCCTGCTCAAGCAGGAGACCTTAAACCATTTCAAACAGATGACTGTCCAATCTCTTCTTAAAGACCTCCAATGATCAAGTACTTACAATTTCTGAAGGCAAGCTATCCCTCTGGTTTATTGTTTTCACTCTTAGGAAGTTTCTCCTTAATTCCAGTTTGCTTCTCTCCTTGATTAGTTTCCATCCATTGTTTCTTGTCTTGCCTTCTAGTGCTTTGGAAAATAAGTTGACCCCTTATTCTTTGTGGCAGCCCCTCAAATACTGGAATACTGCTATCATCTCAACGCTAGTCTTTTTTCTCTCTCTAGACGACTAACCATGCCCCGTTCCCGCAACCGTTCTTCATATGTTTTTGTCTCCAGGCTTTTAATCGTCTTAGTTGCTCTTCTCTGCACTTTTCCCAAAATCTCAACATCTTTTTTTTTGCAATGCGGTGACCAAAAGTGGATGAAGTATTCCAGTTGTGGTCTTACTAAGGATTTATAAAGTGCTACTATGCTGCTTCACGTGATTCTGATTCTATGCCTCTGTTTATACAACCAAGGATTGTATTAGCTTTTTGGACTGTTCCTGCGCGCTGCTGGCTCATGTTTAAGTGATCTAAATGTACAAGTTGTATCTCAAGAGGTAAAACTGGTTGCTGATCCAGGCTCACGATCCACCAGCTTTACTCCTCCTTCAGATCCAGTCAAATCTAGCTAAAGTCCAGTAGATGGCAATGAAGAGATAACGGAAAATTCTGTTCTTTCCAAGTTCACCTGATGGCTGACTGGTCCACTTACAGTACCCTGCTGAGAATGGGTTTTTTTTTTTTTACTAACATTAGTCCACTAAAAGATGCTAATACTT